AGTTTATTCAAAACTTTAAAATAAAACTATGACAAAGTATAACGATTGTAATACCCGAAATAATATCATTAACAATGGCTTTAAGACAATTAAGGAAACCTCGAATAATACCAAGGTTCTAAGCACCCGAAGTATTGTACATGACTGTGGTCTTTCGGAAGCTACCCTTAGATGTGCCATCAAAAATGATGGTCTTCTTGCCCCACCAGACCGTGCTAAAACCCTAACCAATCATGAAGAAGAACAGTTGGTTGGTTATTGTTTGAATATGCAAAAGCTCAGTTTTGGGTTAACAAAGTCCAGAGTAAATCAGTGTGTAATAGATATTGTTTGTCGAGACGAGAGACCCCATCCCTTTCAGGATAATGGGCTGGGGTGAAAGTGGTGCAATACTTCATGAAAGACCACCTAGAGCTTTCAATTCGTATTCTGCAAGCCCTAAATGAAGCTTATGCACAAAGGGCAAACCCTGTTATTATCAATGATCATTTCAACAAACTTGAGAAAATCATCCAAGAATTTTTACTTACCGCTAACAGAATTTGGAATATGGTTCTGTTTTTTTTTTTATTTTAATTTATTTTAATTTATTTTTATTTTATTTTATTTTTTTTAAATCAGATTATTTTATTTTTTTATTTATTATTTTTTTTTCTTAGGATGAAATGGGGTTTATTATTGAATCTAGAATTCAAAAAGTTATAGCAAAAAAGGGATCACGCCAGGTTCATCGGGTTTCATATAGCAGCTCTCACGAACATATTTCTGTATGTCCAACTATATCAGCTGCCAGGACATACATCCCACCATTGTTCATTTTTAAAGAAAAACGAACAATCCCGGGTCTTTTAAATAGCGCTCTTGCAGGTTCTGTTATGGGATTTACTGAGACAGGATATATGCGAGAAAGCCTATTTCAAAAATATATCGAGCATTTCGTTAGTTCTATCTCACCTGCATGTCCTGTATTGTTAATTCTAGATGGCATAAAAGTCATATCAACTATATTAGTATTAACTACTGTTATGAGAACAATATTCTCCTCTATGCCCTCCCCCCTTATACTACTCATATCTTACAACCAGCCAAATTACCATTTGCTACTCTAAAGAAAACATATGATAAAGAGTGTGATAAGTTTTGAATTAATAGTAATGGTAAATTTGTAACTAAACACACGTTCTCTGAAGTTTTAGGACCATTATATATTGCAACCTATATACCTACTGCAATATACAATTCATTCAAAACTACGGGAATTTGGCCATTCAATCCTAGTGCAATTGGACCTGACCGTCTAGATCTTTCATTAACAACTGAACGTACCTATATTCCGCAAGCCTCTGAGCAACAAGCTCCTTTGTCTTTACAATCATCCAGGTCTTCACAATTTTCTTTGTCTTTACAATCTTCTTCGTCTTCACGATCTTCTTTTTATTCACAATCATCGTCTTTGCAAAGTTCAAAGTTAGCTCCAATTAATACATACCTTATCAAGGCAAACCCTACAAAAAAAGAGCTAATGTCTAAAATTAGGTTATTAAATGAAAGAGTTGAACGTTTGGAAGAAGAGATTGAAACTCTTAATAACCCTGGTACAAGTTCTTTGCAGCAGATACTTAAATATTCCTTGCGTTCTAATTCACCAACTGAAGATCCGGGATCTGATCAAGAGAAATCTGGATCCCAACTTCTAAAAAGAAAAAAAAGAAAAACCATGCTCTTCTCCTAGCTTTTAACAAATGAAAAAATCATTGAAGCAACTGAGAGAGGCGGAGAAGGAGGCAGAAAAGATATCCAACGAGAAACAACGTAAAAAAGAAGAAGCTATCCAAAAATGGACAGCACGTGAAGCTGAGAAGGTGCAGAAGCAAGAGGTACAGAGAAAAAAAAAGGAGGAAACAGAACGTTTGAAGGCAGAAAAGCAACGTATTAAGGATACGAACTGACGTAGAAAAGAAAAAATTTAAAAATTATTCGATTTTATTCTAGTGCGTCAAATTAGTAGCAATCTTTTGATAATCTCGATTTTGGAAAGATTTATGTTACTCTAATACGGATTAGATTTTTTTAGTCTAAAAAAAATTTTTTTTAAACAAATGTTTATTCTAAGTTGGAATGTATTAAATTTAGTAAAAACCAGGTATTTTTATGTCAATTCAATAAAGACTTGCTATTGGGCAAGATTAGCTGCGTCATAATAGGGACACTTACCTTATATATTAATTTAGTTTATCAAGATTATATTAGATTTAGGGTTAAAAAGATATAAGTATTATTTTTTAGAACTATTAGAACTTTTTTATATCTTAAAAACAAAAGCTAAAATAAGATTTATTTCTAAAATTATTTATAATAATATTTACAACTTGCTCAGTAATTTTAACTAATTGAAAATT